GAAAAGAGTACAAAACATATTGCAAAGTGTACACATGTACTATTAACTTCAAGAAAAAACACGTATCCTTAAATCCGGCAGGTGCAGCCGCGAAGTAGAAAGCGCGTAGTTCGCGTACGTGTCTTCCTCGATCCTACACGTGAAACCTGCGAGTGCGCAATGCTGAGTCCAAGCTTGTGCATACGGCCAACAAAAGAGGTTTTATATATAACTTCATGTTGGCGAACAGAACGCTACGTCAAGTATGATTCAGGTAAATACTATTTCGAGTTAGTATATTCGATTCTGCTGGTATACAGTTAGGTCTTTATGTGACTCACGATACCAAGACAAAATATCAAGATTACAGAGTATCGAGACCTGAAAAAACTGGTCTGGAAACCGACAGCGCAGATATTTTACACTTTATTAGTAACACATCTACTCAATACACTTGTTTTACCAAGAAGTTAAAACAGTCTCCCGATCTAAATCCTCCTGCGGATATACCCAGCAAGAAATGAGACCGAGGGGTATCCCCCCAACATGTCCGATCCCTAGACACATTCCAGACTATTGTTACTTAACACATCCCCAAGATGTCTGAAAGGAATTCCCCAGATTCCTGCGAGACAATGACCAACACAAAGCAGGGGGTCTCTCCGTCTCATACCTTGCTGCATATGCCTACGGAGCTGCAAAGTAAAGAACTATTGCCATGACTCATCCACCAGACCGCAGAAGTCTATGATGCGGTAATGCGATAAGCTGACCGTTGTTTACTGGAAGCTGCAGAATGCACGGTGTACTCGACCGCAGCGGTTTGGCAAGCCTCGCCGAAGCGTTCGTCTGTTCGATGTTGACTGTCGGTGAGACTTACCGTTTACAAAGCGTTGAACGCTTTCAAAAGCGTTGTAATTTGACCTCACGCCTAAGCGGTTCGCAGCCCGATTGATGTGGTATCCCTCGTTTGTTTAAGCGATTCATTTGATGGACGTTAAACAGTAAGCAGGTGTCCGTGAATACCCGGTGGTCGTAATTATTGTGCAACACGTCGTCGTTCGGCATAGGCATCACGCAGTCGTAAAATATTTTTCTCACCGAGTAATACACGTGGAAGATAAACAGCGCAGACACGTACGGATTCCAATCGCATAATAGATTGAAACCTACCCCACATGCCGTCGTTGCACAATATACTGTGAAATTAGATTGGTTTTGGTAAAATGATAGTGGAAAAGTTGTCAAACGGTTGAAAGCTTTGTCCGTTTTGACTTTTGGCAATTTATACGCCACGGTTAAATTTGGAAACACGGCGGTAAAAATAATCTTTATTGACCACGATTGATAATTGACTAAAGTTGGCTCCAATCTTTTACTTTATAATTACCTGATTCTAAAAAGGAGGCGCCAAAGGGTAGGCAGGCGGTTGTTCTTGATATTGAACAGACTTGGACAAAATTACTTGCCAAGTTTTTTCATAAGGTCTTTTTTAAAATCTGCCGCCGTTTCGTTGGCCGACATTTCCGCCTTTGCTCGCACTTGACGGTGATAATCGGCTTTGCACGACCGACACGGGCACCGTATAGCAGGGCCCCACTGCCCCACGCATGGGAACTTGAGCTATCAAATGACGGGCGAACCGGACGGGACTCGAGCATCCGTGCAGGGGGACATACCTGGAGGGAGCGGTGGTGCGAGGTAGGGAGACGGAGAGAGCGCGGGGGGGGGGCGGATCAAATCACGGG